ACAGTCTCCAGAGGAAAGAGGGACAAGGGAGAACTACAGTTACAGGGATCTGACAGAGGAAGGAGAGGGGCACTTTGACACAAAAATCCTTTCACCCGGGCTTCAGGGCACTGTTGATATGCTCTACAGTTTGTGCCCAAGGGTTTTGTGGAAGTCACTATACTTTTCTGTGGCCTAGTGTTAGGTGTAGGTCACCAGCAGGCACACTTTTTCTCTACCACCATGTGTACCAAACCTCCCCCTTCTTTCTGCTGCCCTAAAGGACTTTGTCTCTTCTGCAAGAGTTCCATCATTCCCTTCCAGCTTTGCTCAAGGCACCTCCCTTTCCTCTACCCCAGGCCACTTTTCTTGGGGCTGCCTCAGACTCTCTCCCCTCTCATTTTCCTATTTTCCCCCCAGGCCAAGCTCACACTCACCCCACACCAGCTCATCTCTGGGCAGAGTCAGTGTCTCGTTCAGGAGTGGATGCTGGATCACACAGCTAGGTGCCTGCTCCCAGTGAATCCTGGAGCGGACATATGTGAAATTGCTGATAACAGTGACTGTCTGTTTTGACTGGCTGCTGAAGGTGGTGGGACAGGTTCCAGCTGATCACTGGAGGCGGTTTCCCTGTTACCGAGCAGCTTATTTCCAGCATTTCCTCCTCAGCGTTATCTGGATGGGACACAAGCTTGGCCTCCAGTCGGGGCTCCGATATTGCTGTTAAGCACAAGAAGGAAACCCCATTATTAACCCCTTGCAGCTCTGTCTAGGGCAGCTTAGCATGCACATCAGGGCCAAGAGGAACTTAGTTCCTGTGTTTGCTGTTGACTGATGAGAACAAGCACAGCATTTGGTTTTACTGCCCAGTACTGTCTATTATCTCAACTTGCCAGGGACCAGGGTGTGACCAATGGGCTTTCAATATGACGGACAACAATCCCCAAATGAAGTAGTCATGGACACAGGGTTTGCGCTATGCCAGAGCTTGCCTTTTAAACAATCCCTTGTAGGAAGCTCTTCAGTGTGGCAGACTCCCAGGGATACCACCCTTCCTAAAGGACATCCCACACAGCCCCAACAGCTCCAAGACTGAGGGTCAATCCACACAAGGAAAGTTAGGTCAGTCCATCTCCATTGCCCCGGTAAGTGAAAAATTGACACCCCTGAGAGTGACAGTGAAACAAATTCAAGGCCCATTGTAGACAGCAGGACAACCTGCTTATCACCTTTCAGAGGTGCATTTACTATGGTGAAGTAAGAACACCTTCCATTGCTGTAGGATATATACTACACTCTAGCTACGCCACTCCAGCTATGCCACCTTGTACACAGCCTGCGCCTCTGGGCTCCAGCTCTCGTTTCATATGGTGAGCTCTGCTCTGCAAGTCCAACTGAGATAGACTCTTGTTCAAAGACTTGTTACCCTCTTCTGAGGTAGAGGACAAGACAAAGTTCAGACTGGCCAGTGTCAGGGCTCTAACTAGCCTAGCTGCTGTGGAAGAATTCTTGACTCTCTCTGTCATGATCATGAGGATTAAACAGCATCCTAGGGACTAAGTGGTTAACTATGTCTCTTACCTAAACCAGGTGGCAGGCAGCCAACAGAAATGTTGGTAGGAATTTCAAACTGGGACAAAGGAATTTTAGGGTTTTCCCCTCCTTTGTCCTGGGCAGTTTGTCTCCGGCTACTGAGGGGGACAGACAGAATGTCTCCGTCCAAGAATAGACTCTTCACTCTTCTGTAAGTAGGGTCAAGTTTAGATAAATCCGTTTTATTGTTTTATGGTTTGGGAAATGGGATCTGATGTATGTGCATTTAAAAATGCTTTTTGCTCTCTTTTGTAACTAAGCTCTTGGCCCGTGGGGGGTTTCTCCTCCATTAATATTTTACTTTGTTACTTTTCCATCTAGTCATTATGCTTGAAACAGGAATATTGTGGCGATAATAACAGTTCTTTCTCTTTTCTTTTCTTAACCTGGCATTGGTTAATTTTTGTGTCCTAGTTTGTACTTTAGGGGTGCGATTTTCCAAGTGGTCTCTCCCCTGATTTTCTTATCAATCCTTGGGTGGTGGCAGTGGGATTTCATCTCCAAAATCTAGGCTGTTAAGATTTTGGGGGGAAGTTTTATACTAAAACCTGGTAGATGAGGTTTTGGGGTACTTTTGCTGGCCTCCACTTCTGCATTTATCATGCCAGAGTGGGGAAGGAGACATGACACCATCTCACTGGCAGAGGTGAAAGTATGAGGGTGCACTCTGGCTCGCAGTTCCAGCAAGCGCTGGCTGAGCTCTGGCAAAAGCCAGTAGGGAGCTATTTAAAGAGCTGACAGGGACCCTGGTTACAATTGGACAGTACATATAAGAAATTTTAAGTAATTTTCACTGCTGCTCACTGGTAGGAGTGTCTGTCTATCTCCAGTCCAAAAGTCAGCTTTTATCAGACACCTCTTCTTCTCTTTGTACTCCAGCTGGGGGGTTTGCTCTGCTTATAGCTAGGGGGTCTGTGTATGTGTGTGTCGGGGAGAGGGGATCTCCTTCCTCCTGGTTGATGGTTGCTAATTATAATTTTCTGCATAGGAGGGGGGGTGCACAGGAAGGGATAGCTCAGTGGTTTGAACATTAGCCTGCTAAACCCAGCATTGTGAGTTCAATCCTTGAGGGGGCCATTTAAGTATCTGGGGCAAACCTGTCAGGGATGGTACTTGGTCCTACATTGAGGGCAGAGCTCTGGACTCAATGACCTCTCAAGGTCCCTTCCAGCTCTATGAGATAAGTACATCTCCATTTTTTTAAAAAAAGGTCTCAGACACTGGGGTTTCCCTTCTTTTCCTGGATTCTCCACTGATATGGGCCAGTTTCAGCTTGCCCTTTAAATAACCCATTCACAACACCCCAGACATGTAGGTGACCCGACATCCAATATCTCCGGCTCTGCCTCAAAAGCAGCTTTTTAAACTCTTTGTGCTTTGTACATAGCAATGCAAACCACAGAGGGAAATTGAACCATGCAGAGGAATAAAAAAAAATATTAACAAAATTCCCATATTCATCATAGGAGAACCAGCCAAATCAGAGGAGGGGCAGATAGAAATGTGGGTGTCACAGACCAAGTCCCAAAAACATCATCCTCAGATTTCAGCTATACAGGTAGAAACTCTCTTAACCGGGACTCTCCGGTCCAGCAACATCCGTGGTCCAGCATGACCATGGATATTCCAGGACCAGAGAGTCACACTAGAGGGCTAGTGCCCAGGAGACGTGGAGGCTGGCAGAGCTTCTTGGCAGGTCTGCGGGATCACAACACACGGCAGCGGGATCCCGGCGTAGAGGTTATGGGGCTGAGTGGAGCAGCAGCAGGAGCCAGGCTCTGCAGCAGGAACGCAGCGTGCAGAGGTGGTGGGGCAGCTAGAGCTGACAGGGCAGCGAGGCCAGCGAGAGTGGGGGAGCCAGCTGGGAGGGCAGTAGTCGGGCCAAGGCTGGCAGCTGAGGGGCCAGAAATGACCACCCTGGGCAGAAAAAAAATCCCTTATCCAGGACCAGTGAGGTCCCGAGGATACCAGACCAGGGAGGTCCAACCGGGAGTGCTAAGGAGTTGGTAAAAGCAGGAAGGAAGAAATCAGATGTAGCTCTAAAATTAGTGATCACCTCCATGCAGCAAGATTTCTATTTCTTTTCTGTTTAATTTTTTAAGGAGAATTACTGCTTGCGCTGTGTTCTTACTCGGACCCACTCGGAGAAAGCTGCTAAAGGGCCACTCCAGTTTTTTCATTTACTGACTCCGCAGCCACGGAGCCTCATGGAAGCCACATTTATATTTAAAATATAATAGTAATGATAATTACTATTATAATTATTGATGAGATTTTAAAGAATGGATTTCTGAAGTTAGGTGGCTAAATACGGATAAAGAAACCTAAATATGTGGCTTAGTTTTCACAAGTGCTGAGTGAGCATCCAGTAGCTCCCATTAACCTCAAAAGGGAAGATGATATTGAGCACTTGTGAAAACCAATTTACTTACTCATCCTGCAAAGCCTTACATAGGCATGTCACTTCTCTCATGTGAAGAGTTCAGTGTGACAATTTACGTAAGTGATGCATCTGTGCAGGATTAGAGCCTAAAAATGGGATTAGGCGCCTAATTTAGCCATCTTTCTTTCTTTCTTTCTTTTTTTCTTTCTTTAAATCGTGAGCAGAATATGATGTAATTGCAGCGCTCATTTAGTTTGTGTCAAAGCTAAGAGAGCTCTGCTGGAGGAATGTGTTTGTTATGTTGGCAAGGCAACTTTTATGCTGTGTTGAACTATTCATTACCTAACTTTTAAGAGCCGTGCTTGAGGAGCCGTGCTTGTGACTGGTGTGATTGATAACTGTTGCATTGGCATCATATACTGATCTTCAAACAATCACCACTGTTTTGGGGAGTATTTATAAACCATTGTTTCCTCTTGCACTGGTAAATGAAGATAATATTCTTAAAAATCCATGTTCATGGAACAGACAAGAAGCTAATTCATTAATTTAAAGGAAAATGTGGGATCAGCCAAGTTTATATTGGCTCCTGTAGACACCTGTACCATTCAATATGCACCTGACTGGACTGGAGGAATTACCCAAGCCATGGTGGTAGGAGAGGAAAACTAGGACATCAGGAGCAGCTTTAATAATACACTACAGTCACTCCATACTCAGATTTGGAGACAGAGATATTCTAAAGGGGAACACTAAAACAATTTTTTTTTTAATCTTATGTCT